AAAGCTTTCTTGTGTTATCAATAAGTTATCTATTAACTGATTAACTCAATCATTACATTAATTAAAATGTTTGTGTTGTCTAAGTAAAATGTTCAACTTTGCACTTTTGTTTTCCAAACCTGATGTTAATAAGCTATTTGACTAATACCGAAAGTATTTTCAATTAATATTCAATAGCTCTCAATAATATAGTATTGTAAAGCATAGTGCAATTTTATACACAAAACTTTTGTGATTTGGTATTTTCTAATAGCGAATGATAAATCATTATTAATAACGTAAATTGATTTTTATTCATCATTTATTATTTATTGAGTTAGTTAATAAAAAAGTAAGCAAAACGCAGCCATTATTAAAGTACACGTTGATGATGTAGTCAGTGATAAAATCCTCAACAGCAAAAGGTATTCTGTACTCTCGCGGCGTGACCTCAAACACGTGTACATGTGCTGTTCTTTTGTAAAGAGGTCCCTTTGATCATTTCGTACTCCGTTGATACCCCACTGGTCGATGTCACTTTTTGCGAACTTTGCGGACATGTTATATATAAACGAACAACAATCGATTGCCTTCTTTGAACTCTTTGACCAGTCAGAGTTCGATAACGTGTATTTTCTGTGACCACCGTAGCCCTTTTTCAATATATATACCTTTTTACCACGTCGTCAGACTAGGTCAACTGAATAGAATAGCGCGTAGGTAAAAAGTAGCGGTTAAATAAACGCGGCACACGCTGAATGGATTTGAACATAAAATAAATATCTGTATCATCTTTATTATACCATAAGATCAACAAAAAAGGCTTTGTGGTGTCGTGAAACAACCGATAGAGGCGAAATTATTCGACAAATATTAGTTATAGACTTTGGTCAACGTATTTTGCAAAATAAAAACTGACAAACGTCTAACAAATGCATTCCGTACGCTATTTTTAGCTCTTAATAAATTTATTTATTACTTAATAAATCAAAACCCATAACGATTGTTTTAACAAACTCTGACTCCTCCATCTTGCGAGAAAACTATTAGGGCTTCGCTCTAAAGCCTTATGTAGGTCAAACGGGAATACATTTTAATATACGAATGCGACAACTGAAAACTGTTAGTTGTTGATTCTTCCAAAACCAACAGTCGAGGTTCTATCTTGAGGGAAGGGGACCTAATTATTTTTCTCCAAATTGCTTTTTCAAATTGCAATTAAAGTGTTCAAAAATAATGCTAGATGTACAACTCTTAAGTAAAATGATTAGATTATGTTTCACCATCATCATCATCATACGGTTTTCTTATATCTTGTCTCTTTAACTATTTGTGAACAGTAATCGAGTCTACCTCTTTCAACTCCTGTTTCTGGTTCGCATATGCCTCTGACTAGCCCTTCATGTGTGAGAAGGTGGCCATCAATCTACTTCGCCTATTTCTTATTGATTTTCATAACGCCCTTTTTTAAATTTATATTGCGCCGAATTAATTTTGTACAAATTTTCATTTATGTAAAACCTTTTCACCTGTTTCGCTTTTATTGAAAAATTAGATTTTTGGTGAAGGTATTTTGTAAAAAAACAGATAAACATCTAAAAAAGCTCTATTACTACCCCATTAATTGCAAACGAGAAGTCACTTTGATCTTCAATTACTATTGTGGTTCCCACCCCTGTCTGTTTGTAATATATGTGTACAGACCTGACGCTGGAAGCT